GAGTGTTTAAAATGCCCAACTATTTTCCGTCCCACTGCTGTAGCATCAGCTATGCTCCTCTGTGCTAATAAGCGTGGGTAAATAAGCGTGGGTAAATAAGCGTGGGTAAATAAGCGTGGATAAATAAGCGTGGGTAAATAAGCGTGGGTAAATAACCGTGGGTAAATAAGCGTGGATAAATAAGCGTGGGTAAACTCTTTGTGCTCGTTGTCGTGTTGGGATTTTGGTGCTTGATTAAATTACTTGTGTTAAATGCGCTACCTTTAGAGCCTCTGGACAATTTTGCTGAGCACAATTTGCAGTCCGCCTTTGTTTTCGCGTCTTCGTTCACTTTGAAATAGTTCCACACGGCTGACTTGTCTCACCTCGCCTTCTCTCAGCTCTGAGCTGCAGCCGGGGCCTGGTGGCGGGTACTCGGCACCTGTGATTAACCCCTTACATGCCGCTCAAACATAGACAGGTCTCAGACCATGGTATCGGTCCCCGGTATCGGGGGACTTTTAACGAGTACGAGTACGTTAGAAAATGTGGTATCGAGGCCGATACTAGATACCAATACCGGTATCTGGTATCGGCCTCGATCCCAGATACCGATACCAGACACCGATATCGGTATTGGTGCATCCCTATTTGGAGCCTATCATCAAGCGTGGTTACTTTAACACCTTTAAAATGACTTTGTAGCACCTCAATCAATCAGACTTTCACCAAATCAAATGGGTGGATCAGTCAAGACGTGCCTTTTCTGAAGCAACACATTTCTACTCTAATTAAATGCATGGGCTCTTTTTGTTTCTCAGACAGGAGTCTAGCAACTTAAAGTCCTGCTGTGACCAAATGTCCTGTATACTCTGTGGTCCATTAAAACATGTTTCAAACTTACACGAGTTTTCTTTAAGCAGGTTCTGGCCACTGTGGCTTGAAGAAAGGATGGAAAATTGGGTTTCGCAGGCTTCCTCATTCCTCTTTAGCTTTTCTTCCATTTTCTCTCCCATTCATCTTTTTACCAAATATTTTATTTGCTCACATTCTAAACCTTGCTTCATCTCTTGTCATATCAGCGAGCCTCCTCTTCTGATTTTGCCCCAAAAGTAGTGTTACAGGTTTGCTGAAAGTCTGTCATGTATGCCGTGCTGGAACGGCACAAACCTCCACAGAGAAATACGATTCTGTAAAGATCAGCGCCTCTAATTCATTCATGTCATGTGTAATAAATATCTGCTCTTTCCTTTTTTGATGCCTAGCTGGTTGTCAACAACATCTTCTCATTTTAGATTTTAACCATTAACCATATCGGGTGGACCAATAATAACAGCAGACTCCCATAAGAGCTGAAATAAGTCGTGTTGGACAGCTCCATGTCCAAAGTCTCTATTGAGACAAGATGTACAGCAAGCAGCAGGTGACACATGTGTTATCCAAACCAAACTAAATACTAAGAACCCAGCTGACGTGACAATTCCTGATAATAACTGCTGTTGATAAATGCTGATTTGTGCCCTAACATATCATAGAGAGATATTAGCCTGGTCCTAAATATGACCCTAATTCTGTAAAACATTAATACCTCACATGCTTCAGATCTGTGAGCATAAATATGTCTCTGTGCTTCCTTAGAGCACAGAGACCTCACCACTGCTGCACTGAGACGGTCTGAGAGCATCAGTATGTTAGATTTGACACTACTATCATTTTTCTGCAGTGTCCACCCTCGTTTCAGATGACACAGTGTTTAAGACTGATCGAGCTGCAGCCGAGGCGCTAATGAAAATGTGCTGCTAAAACGGGCCATAAGGCGAGGGAGAGGGCAGATAGGGAGGAAAGAGACCAGGCTTAAATCATCCTGTGACAGCTCATGGTCTTAATATTGTATGAGTAGCTAAAAGTGGATCAGGTGCAGGAGAGACGAGAGCAAAATGTAAAAATACATAAATAAATGGTGATCGTGTGTCATGTGTGTTTATCAGTGTTGGGAAGGTTACTTTTAAAATGTATCCCAGTACAGATTACAGATTACATGCCCCAAAATGTATTTTGTAACGTATTCTGTTACAGTTACTCAATGAGAGTAACTGTAACGGAATACAGTTACTCTCATTTAGTATTTTAAATATGTAACGGTTCCGTTACTCCCCAACACTGGTGTTTATATACACAGCTCATTAACATGGCCATCGCAGGATCCACAGTGGATCTTGTCGAGTGCTGAGAGGTGATGCCACTAGTGCAGCAGGTCCTGAGCCTTTCTGCTGTAGCATGCACAGTTTTATGCTCCCCAGCTGAAATAAATAGAAGAGGTGTCCTTCTCTCATGGAAAGAGTTGGCAACAGCAGTCAGTGTTAATATGTCAGGAGTGTAACACATATGTATGTACAACGGTTTTACCTTTTTTTCCTCTTCTCCTGTGTGGCCTGTTGTAATCCTGACAGCTGAAGCTGGACTCTTCTTCAGTCTCTATCATCTTCCAGTCTCCTCTCAACAATAGCAGTTTTAAAAATGTCTACATCAACAAGTATAAGCATATATATGTTTATGGTCAGATATTAAAATTATCCATCCATCCATCCAT